TCATCATTATGTGGTTCTATATGCATGAAGGTAGTATTAGTAAGAGTCTCAGTACCCTTACCAATCTTTGATATTAGACGCTCTGTAACCATCCTACCTAATAATAATATGGACAACAATAATGGGAGATATAATCATCATTATCATTCTTACAAGTATCATGGAGATCCTCTTTAGACCATCCCATACGATCCATAAGAACCTTTCCCATAGGATCCTTATTCACATCAACTGTATCAAGATCGACTAGGCGTTTACCTGATAATAACAACAGGAGGAGGAGGAGGAAGAAGCATAATGATAATGATGATGATGATGATGATGATGATGATGATGATGATGATTACGTGATGATACAGATACATCAACAAGTATCTTCTCAATATCCTCAATACCAACATTAGATGCTTCTTTTAACTACCAACAATGATGATGATGATTGAGGACAACATAAATAGAGATATTAAACTAACAACAACAGCAGCAGCAATAACAATAACAGTCTTATTACATCAACAATATTCCTTTCCACTAGCAGCTTGGCAGCTCCTTTAGTCACATAGAATGCAGCATTAGGTAATACACGAATAGCATGGCTAGGATATCTACATGATCATAATAATATATATGTATTCATTATTATAAAAGTTTACTACTTAATATTAGTCTCCTCTTGAACTCCATTAGCCACCATAGGTGCTTTAGCTTCACCAGCTGCTATAAGGATACATACACAGTCAGGGTTATATGTAATAGTACCAAGACCTATAACATCATAGGGCTGCCACCAATCACAATAATGATTATGATGATACTTATTTAGTTCTTATTGTTATTACCAATAGTGATAGCACACTTAGCCTTAACAGCATCAATACCACCAAGATCAGCAGATGCAGCAGCTTGAGTTGGATAGTTAAGTTGAGCTAATCTAGTTGTACTCCTATGATCACTACCACAAACATTGAAGGCAATATGACCATCACGACCAATACCACCCAGGAAAAAACCGATACCTACAATGATATAATAACATGATCATCATCATGATGATTGTAATAGTAGTATTCTTATACTATTACCTCCTAGTGAACGAATCTTTGATTCGTAATCAAGACACCATTGATCAACCTGACGTATC